TTAAATGAAGAAAGATAAATTATTTCTTAACAGTATTCTTCTGGAGAGACAAAATTTCATACACAAGTGTCTGGGAGAAAATATTACACAGACGGAACCTCTGTCTGTGGCAGAGTTGCTGCTTTGTCCCGAGTGTTTCATGGAAGCTTGGAGTTGTTTAATAAAGGGAATTCTGAGTTTAAGCTAGATTCTCACCTTAAGAAAGTGAGTTAGAATAGCATATGGCTTGTTAGCTGGATTCATTCGAGCATGGTGAGTTACAAAGCTCATCTATGCTGATGTACTCCTTAGAGTACCTTCTTAGAGGTCCCTCAGCAGGAGGTGAGAGGTTCTAAGGCAGTTAACACTTCAGTGGCCCAGGGCCTGGACTTTATGTGTCCCCGAAGTCTCTGTCTCATGTGACCAAAATTCTTACGTCCTCCAGCATATGATTATGCACTTACATGATAGGAAGGCAAAGAAGATGGGAAATACTGCGTGTACTGTAATTTATGTCATGTTTTTGCATGGCTGGACACACAGAGCAGACTGAACTTTGACACTTTTGCTGCACATATACTGTTCTGTCACACAAGAAGTATTTTGAATATTTTTAAAGTATCAGGAATAACTTGCTGGATGTATAATACAGTGAAAAAAACAGAAACAACACTGCAGTTTTCACAATATATCTGGATATATTGTTTTGCCACTTCATCTGAGTTACACATGTCCCTGACTTTTTTGTTTTCTTCTTTCTTTATTCTACTTCATTAATTTTCCTGTAATTGACCGTCAGGAGTAGTAATGGAAGAGTAAGTTGTTATAAGTTTTAGTAGTTCGTATATATTGTTGAGAGGTTAGTGTGCTTCTTGTGGCACAGATATTCCGATATGGAAAAACTGGATGTGTAAAATAACCTATAGATTAAAAATTGCAGATTTACATAAATTGTAAAAAAAAGTAATTTGTCTCCCATCTTCTTCACAATGCTCTGTTTTTAAGCTGCTAGTGTCTTTAGGGTACCTAATGAGAGAAAATTTGGAGTTGCTATGCAAAATATGGACAGTTGTATTGCTTTTGTTTCTTCTCTAATCAGTGTCTACAGGTAATCATGACCCTCTGAAAAGCAAAGTAAGAATTTGAAGTCTTAATTTTCGAGTTGCAAGCATTTTGAGCACTCGCAACAGGAATCAATAAGAAACAAAAAAAAGATTAAAAATCACTACAAATTAAGTAATTACTAATCTTATCTTAAAAGAACACTGAAGACCAGAATCACTAGTAGTTTTCAATGCAGACTTTAGTCGTTTTTCATACTGAATGCTCTGTTAATGCAGAATATATACATATTATCAATTTGATAAATTTGATTGGAGAGTTCTATTCTGTAGGATGGAACTTTTAGAAATGACTTTGTTGCTATTTGGTTCATTACAAGTTGTACTGAGAGTGGAAGAATGCTTCTTTTCCTTGCCACAATGCTATTTCCAAGGCAGAGTTTTATCAATAACTGTTTTGCTTTGAAAAAGAATTCTACTTTTGCTGTAAGGATTTTAACATTACTTTTGTGATTGTACCTACAGTTAATCTGATCTTGTTATAGAACTTTGTATAAATAGACCTTTCTCATTCAGGGCTTGTTTCTTAATTTTTAATAAGACTGTGTGCAAAGGCGTCTTTTGTCTTAGTTTATCAAACTGAGCTTATCTTTCTTTCAGTTCTTTCTGAAGTAAGTTGTTGGAAATCTCAGTATTCAAAATAGGAATATTGATTGATTGAGGATATATATATATATATATATTTAGAATGTTGTAGCATCATAGAGCAGCTTGGGTTCGAAGGGACCTTGAAGATTCCATTATCTGGTTCCAACCTCCCTGTCCTGTGTAAGAGCATCTCTCAGTAGATGAGGCTACCAAGGGCCTCATCCAATCTGGTCTTGAGTGACTCTGTGTGCCCTTACATGCTTTTTCTATAAGGTTTCTCGATGTACTCTTCCACAGCTGAGATTCAATTTGTTGAGATTGGAAGAATTTCACATTCATAAAGGCTTACTAATCATACTTTCTAATTAAAAGATGATTCCTATGTATAGAGCAGTAAGTGCACAGTATATAAACACAGTGATTTTTATTAGCTCTGAGTGCAGTATCGCTGGTTTGTATGTGTTCAAGGAGCGAGGGGGGATTGCTTTAAAATGATTTTAACTGTCTCCTATAACCAGAATGTTTCTGTTTATACATGCAATAAATTACACATACTTCAATGGAGTTTTTATCTTCCTTTTCTCTGGCATTATCTATGAGTCAGCTATGAAACTGTCAGTAACCTCTCAGATTAAAAGAAGGATGATTATTGCTCAGTTGAGTTTGCAATATTATTCTGTTCTTTTAAGATTTCATGAGAATTTAAAATTAAATATTCTGAGATAGAACCTGTCAGACTTTGAAGGTGTAATACATGTAACTATCTTCTGGAAGATAAAATGGAAGTCATTTGAAATTGGCTTTAGTTTCAAGGGCATCCAGTCAGGCCTTCATTTCCCATCTGTGGATTATCCAACCTTTGAGTGAAGGACCTTGTAGGCTCCATTGTACCAGCACTGCTGTTGGTGCACTCCGGATGCAATATTTGCCTGCTCGTGTGCCTGCCCAGCGTAAGCTGTGTTTTAAAATAAAAGGTCACTCACCTTTCCTGTCATCATTGTATGCTGTGTTCTGTCAGTCTAGTTTTAAATGCTTAGATGACCCATAGTTTCAATTACATGGTTTGTGCAAACCTTTTGTTACTCTTACAAATTATTTTAAGCAGACTGTGTTTAGCTGCTACGTACATTCATTCCTTCCTAAAAATTGCCAGAGATCTGTGACTGAAGAAAGAATGTATCAGATAGTATTAATCACGTGTTTATTTGGAATCTGGGTAATAAGAAAACTGAATGCCAACAAGTAGAGGTGTGCCCCAGGGGCCAGTACTGGGCCCAGTTCTGTTTAACATTTTCATTAGTGATCTGCTTTATGGGGCAGAATGCACCCTCAGCAAGTTTGCACGTGACACAAAACTATCCAGCAAAGGGCCTCAGAAGTAATTGAGTGCCTGGAGCACCTCTCCTATGAGGAGAATCTGGGAGAGGAGGCTCAGGAATGATCACATCAATGTCTAGAAATACCTTAAGGGAGAGTGTGAAGAGGATGGATTTAGGCTCTTTTCACTGGTGCCCAGGACTATGGACAGTGGACACACACTGGAACAGAGGAGGTTCTTTCTGAATGTCAGGAAGCACTGCTGTGCTCGCAGTTGGTAGAGCACTGGCACAGGTTGTCCAGAGAAGTTGTGGGGTTTCCTCCTTGGAGATCTCCAAAAGCCACCTAGACATGATCCTGGGTACCCTGTCCTGGGTGTTCCTGCTGAGCAGAGGCTGGGCCACGTGAACCATACCAACCACAACCATGCAGTCATTCTGTGATAATATTTTGTGGCTTTCCCATAGTACTACTGTACGTACAGAAAAAGCAAAATGAAAGAAATGTTTTCTGTGTATTATTTTTTCAGAGTTTTCACTAAGAGACAACATGTCAAGCCATCATCTTCAAATCATTGCACTAAAATAAACTTGATCTCTGAAAAAATGAGTAAATGAAGAGTGCTCTAATAGATGGTTAAGATACTAATTCACTTTTCTGTTGCTCCATGATAATATTTAAAGGACCTTAGAGCTATGCTCTGCAACAGCAAACTCTTTTCTTTAACAATCTCTGATTGTATTTCTTAAAATATGAAATATAAATAGAACTGAATTCCAAAGAAAATTCCACATGAGACTTTTAGCTATATAATGTCTTTCTACTTTGCTAAGAAAGGTAGTTTATGAAATTGTATTGCAGTGCAATTACTTGCAAGAGAGAATTGCTATTGTCAGTTTAGTGCATTGAGAAGAGAAACAAAAGGCTAGAGCAAGAGCTGGCTACACATTTTCAAACAAATATTGTGACGTGGAAAGCTTCACTATGATTTTTAGTCTTTGCCTGGAACAATGAAATATATTTTCAAATAAATTTTTAATACGAATATTCAATCTGAACATGATGGTGCAGTGTTTGTAGAAGTGCCTCCACTGCTTATGTTTGTTCTAAGTCAGGTTTTCAGAAACTTTTGTTTACAAACACAGATTGCCTTTCAGGAATCCTTTCTGCTGGCAGCTTCTCCTCCTGAGACAGGACAGCAACAAATTAGTTACTGCAAAACAATGAACTGTGGAGCCACAGTAATATTTGTTCACTTTTAATTGCTAGCATCAAATAGGTGGTTCACATTGCCTGATGAGTATAACACTTTGTTACCTCTCCAGTGGCTTCAATGTACTTTGAGAAACACCACCTCAAATCAGTTAAAAAATCATTGGAACATGAGGTAAAATGTCTTTACCATGAATGCAGTCTGGCGCTGCAACAGCCTTCCCAGAAAGGAGGAATGATGCCACATGCCTGTCAGTGTTCAGTAGGCACTTGGATAATGCCCTCAATAACAAGCTTAAACTTTTGGCTAGCCCTGGACTGATCAGGCTACTCAACTGTAAGATCTCTGAAAGCTTCTTCTAGTCATTCTGTTGTTCTACTCTACTTCACTCTAAAATCAGTTGTTTTCTTGTACCCAATAGGAAGTAATCATTTTATTAGCAATTATTTTAAACGTCTACAACAGTCATTCTGTGATTAGAGAACTGTATTTGTCACAAAGCAAAAGTTGTTTTTGTCAGCAATTTTCATGAATGTCTGTATTTAATGTTGCACTGCTAAAGATATTGTTTGTAACAAAACGCAGCTTGTATTCATCATGCAGTGTACAGTTTTCATCCTGGTCATAAATTCTTTCCTTCCTTCTCTTAAGCTAACTTCAGACTGATGGGTTGAGAATTACACTGAATAGCTTCATTCTGTTTGGTCTCTTGACCCTAATGAGAAATAAATATGAATGTCCTATCTGTCATGTCTCATTGTACAACTTTGTCATTTCTCTAGGAGGCGATTTCCTGTCCTTTTTAAGAAAAAAGAAGGATGAGCTGAAAACCAAACAGTTAGTGAAATTTTCATTAGATGCTGCTTCTGGTATGGCGTACCTCGAGTCGAAAAATTGTATACACAGGTAAGAAAAATACTTTTTTTCTCATACTGTAATTTTGGTCATTTGGAATGCTAGATTAAATGTTTATGGTGCTTGATATTAACACAAAGGATCTCTAGAATTTTTGAAAAGCTACACTTTTCCTGAAATTGGGTATTTTGTTCATTTGGGTCAAAATAAATACTACAGTATTTGGTTTAAGTAGCTCATTTGTTTTAGTATAGATTGACAGTGATTTTCTCTGGTGAGAATTTGCTTTATGGAGAGCATAATTCATACAGTGTCAATTAATTGTGGCAAAAAAAGATACCTGTGAAGCTTCTATCTTCATTTACAGGTACCCACATAGCCAAAACAGAAGTTGAGGTGTATGTTCAGTGTGTTTCAGGAAATTCCACTGATATTTCAGATGATAAAGTAGTATTATCTGGATTTCTTTATATTAAAACAATAGGAATTGTATAATTGATTACATTCTCCAAAATATGGAAGAGGGTCAGGCTTTATGCTCTCTGGATACACTGTTTCTGGTTTTTTGTTCGTTTCTTTTTCAGTTTGGCTGTGCCCTGGAGCTAATTATTCTCAGTTTCTATCAAAGTGACTATGCAAATGTACATAATTTCCACCTACTTTCTCACAAAATATCACAGTGTAAACAGTGATAGGGCTGGAAGATGACTAACAAATGATGTTAGTCCACTTTTCTGGGATACTGTAAAGAACAAATTGTCATTTTTAATGCTGATATTTTTCATTGTTCTTTGTGTGACATTTGTAGATAAACTCTGCGTTACTGAATATACATCATTAACCCCCATATTTAGTACAGTTCTAATGAATGCTGTTCTTGGAGATCTGAACTGTATTTCTCTCTTTCTTTTTTTATCAAAAATGAAGGTAGATTTATCTTTGTAAACATTCCTCCTGTTCTTCTAATGTGATAGATTTACCAATGCACCTAGTACGAGTTAAACATACAAGTCAGGAAAAAGTGCCTTCTTTTTTAACTTTCAAAATCTTCACAGAGGTTATTTATAATCATAAATATAATTTATGATATACATTTATAATCATAAATAACCTTAAAATATCACAGAAGATTATTGCTGAGAACTACCAATTCCTTTAAAAGCAAAAGTAAAATTTTTAGTAAACCTGTCCTGAAGAAAATTACAGTTTCAAAATGCAACCAAGTAGGCAAATGAGCTCTTCCAGAACGCTGTTAGTTTTATGAAATGCATAAATTAATAAATCTAAATGTGCATTTCCAGTATTACTTTATCATTCTTATTTTCTGGCAGATTCAACATTTATTCAGTTTTATGTCACTGGGCATATCATATGCCTACTATACTTATGTTCTGAATTTGATACCTAAATATGATGAAAAGCTCTGAATCAGACAGCAAACAACCCAGGCTAGTAATGTTAGTAGTAATAGCTCTGGTTTTCTTCCCTTCCCTTCCCTTCCCTTCCCTTCCCTTCCCTTCCCTTCCCTTCCCTTCCCTTTCCCTTCCCTTCCCTTCCCTTCCCTTCCCTTCCCTTCCCTTCCCTTCCCTTCCCTTCCCTTCTCCTGTCTGAGGATTTCGAATGTTTGTCCAACCAGCCTTAATGACTGGTTGGATAGACATACGTCCCTCTGAATGTAGTGCCTCCTATTTATTTCCATGGAAGGTACAAAAAAGGAGGCAATAACGCTATCTGATAGAGCACATTCTCAGCTACAAAACATTATTGTTCAACAGAGTTACTACACATTTTGACCAGCAATAAACAAGCATCTGCATTCCACACTTGTAAAAATCTGCACCAGCAGATGTAATTCTGTGTCCCTGTCGCCATTCCCGAGAAGCAGCACTGTGCTCTCATCTGCTGTTTGATCTCCATAAACATTTAGTGATCATCAGTGAATGTCCATAGCTGTCATATTTTCTACATGGAGGAATTCACTGAGACACCTTTACTTCATCCGCACTTCCATGTCAGACACCATTTTGTCAGAGTGCCCCTCTACTGCCATCTGTCAGACAGCAACAAAATGTAACAGGGCATTGGTGGGAAAGTTCAACCTCTACTGCTGTACCACCACCATTTGCTCTGGTGTCACCTGGCAACATAATAAAATAGGAGGCATTACTTTTGGAGCAGCCTTTGTACATTTATCAAGAAATCCCATCTGCTACAGAAGCACAGAACATCTGTCACTTGCTGGATATTGTGAGCCTATTGCATGTCAGTGAACACAACACTGTATGCAGCAGATATGTTAAATAAGAGTGTTAAAAATACCACCCTGTAGTGCTTTGTCAGCAAGTTCTTAGTATAAGGCTCAGAACTCCTTTGGAGCTTAAGGCCCTCCTTACCTGACCACTGAAGATGCAATTACGTGACAGTGTGATCTCTTCAAGGAACATGGGAGTCTTTGTTCCCTCCTTGTTGGGTCAAGGTAAGACAAATTATTCATAGGTATATTTTATGCTGAGATTAGAATGGAACAACTTAATGTGTAGCAGGAAGAAGATTTAGTATAAAAAGAACATTAGTTGTTTTGAAATAACAGTACGTTTGTTCTCTTTTTATCAAAAACTCCATCAAGTAAAAGCGTTTCTTAGATTAAAAGGAAAAAAGAAAATTAGATACAGACAAAATGGAATGCACAGTGGAATATTTTTTTATTTTGATTAAAAGTCAGAAGGATGTAATTACTGTTACTGAAGAAATACTTTATCACTAGATATATTTGCAGCAAAATGATTTTTTTTTTCATTTCCATGTTATTGATTTTCCACAGCATTCTATTTATTGTCTTAAATATTTGTTCAGAACCTTGCTTATTTTGTTTTCTTTGCAGCCTAGATGAGCATTATTTAGTGCCATGTGCGTTTGACTAGCTGTTAAAGACTTGCAGCTTATTATATGATTTTTAGTGCCACTTTTTAGTTGTAGCTGCACTAGCTATACCTAGCCAGTATATTTTAAATTTAGATCTGTTCTGGCTTTCTGATATTGCTATCCAAGTCACACCTTGGCTTAGTCTTCCAGTAATTGGGCCAGTGCAACAACTAATCTGCCCTTTGATTTTCATTTCTGTGCATGGTGTGGTGTTTCAATGAGTGCAGGTGTAAAGTTTGAATTTGTCAGACTTAGAATTCTTAATGCCTGTGAGGGATTATTTGATCTGCATTTCCATCTCCTCTAGAGTCCAGAAATCACTTGTTCTTTGTTCTCTCTTTGTTCTGTTTAAAAAGCAGAAATGAGTGGGCTTAAATAAATAAAATAATAATAAAAAGGCTGCTGCATGAAAAACTGCTTTTAAAAGAAATAACATTTACAGAGCTATGCAGTTATTTCATCTGCATATGATTAAAATGAGTTTAAAGTATTGTTCCCTGCTTTTCATTTTTACCCATTGCTATTGTTTAGATCCATTTTTTTTCTGTTAATTAGAAACAGAAGATTAGGATGGAGATGTGATAACTTCAGTTGTTTTCAATAAGCATTCATGAATGATCTTCTTTAGCAGAATTTGATTTGCATGTGTTGAATGTCCATAATTCATTTATAGTTTCCAGACCTACCCAGGGCAACTGTGTTGCTCAGAGAATTTGAACATCCTTCCCCCTCCCACCAGTATCATGTTTTAAAGAAAATAACTGAAATTATGGTAGTATTCAATTGGAAAAATTTTTTAATACTGAGAAAAGTAATTGTGTTTTGTGTTTCCTTTTTATCATTTGGTAGCCAGTACAACTTTTCAAAATTAGAAAATCAGTTTTGTCTAGAAAATATTATTTCTGTGTGCAAAATTGTCTTGTAGCTTTATCTGTGAGTCATACATGCATGATTCTAATTCAAGCTAGCAGAAATATATTTTTTTTTTCAGTTAATTATTTTGTTCAATTGTGGTTTCACTGCTTTACTTGAGAATTAAATTGCTCTTATCCTTCCTGAAGAGCTTTCACAAACAAGGAGTAGTTTGATTTTAAAAGTAACAGTTTAAACAAATTTCAAGATGCAGTATTAGGAGAGAACCATATTAAAAGTTAGAATCCTAAAAGTGGTCAGTTTATGGTTAGTAAATACTTTCACTGAATTTCAGCAGCCTTCATTTATTCATCTGCCAAATGTAGCGTAAAGTTGATACCAGCCTCAAATCAGTTATTTTCAATGTGTGAGAAGATGTGAAAAAACAGAATTCAAGGTGTATCCCTTTAGTCAAGCTTTCCTTTCAGTCTGTGCAGCTACTATTTTGGAAATCTGCCATACTTTGAATTAAAGATGTATTCAGTGGTGAGACAATCATGTTGTGTATTCCAATTTCTCCATTTTTATTTATGATATTACACCTTTTTTTTTTCCTTAGTGCAAATACAGTATTATTTAATGTTGTTCTCTAGGTACTACAAACTCCTCATTAAGGTAAAAGTGGTTGGCTCAGCTTCATACTATGAAACTCGGGCTCTGTGCATGTTAATTTAGGATTTCTATAGTTCTGATTAAATATGGGCAGTTAATTAAATTATAAATGACTGGGAAAATAACTCTTTCATCTAGTTTACATGCTATTTTTTGTTCTCAGATTTTTTCTTTCCCTTTCATTGTATTAACTATTAATGTAAAGAATCTTGGAAAGAGGCATCAACTCTTTCCCAACCAGGATTTGGAACTATATTGAGTGATTTAATTAGTCTTTCCTGTGAATCTTTTGTTTCTTTCTGTTGCAGTAGCTCAGCTGCCACAAAAAAGATGAAAAGTGATCTTTTCAGCTTGCTGTTCTGTTTAGTGTATCAGTAGTTAATTTAATTATCTTAGGGATCAAGAGAGTAGTGGTTTAAATTCCAGAGCTGAGCAGGTCTCCTTTCTGAGAGCATGGAAGAATCATAGAGTAATAGAATGGTTTGGGTTGCAAGGGACCTTTTAAGATCATCTAGTTCCAACAACCCCCATGTATAGGCAGGGACACCTCCCTCTAGACCAGGTTGCTCAAAGCCTCATCCAGCCTGGCTTTAAATGCTTCCAGG